CTCCTGTGCTCTCCTCAGACTGCTCTTTAGGGAGGCAAGGGTTAAACTTTAGCTTTTAATATTTATTATGCCGCTCTTTTAAAAGTAAGGAACGTCTGGGTAACGGGGTGATTCCTCCTGCGGGGGAGGGATGCTTGTCGCTCGCATCGCGTTTTGCTTGGACTGCCAGAATCGCAGGATATTCCAAGTTGGAAGGGACTCACAAGGATCATCGAGCCCAGCTTCTGGCCCTGCACAGGGCAGCCCCGAGAATCACACCATGTGCCTGAGAGCGTTGTCCAGACGCTTCCAGAGCTCTGACAGGCTCGGTGCTGTGACCACCGAAGTCACCAAACTTCGTCCTGCAGGGGAGGTTGCTCCCCTGGCAGTCTGCAAAATACCCAACTGCATGCAACTTTAATCAGATCTTCATTAAGAAGTTACTGCGTTCTTGCACTGCGGGTGTTTGCCATTAAATGAAATCGACTCGTTTGTTTCAAGATTTGTTTTCGAATGAGGGAACTGTGTCTTTGCAGTTCTCAAGGCTGCAAAAAAGTTCCTGGTGGGCTGTGGCCTCCGCATCCATCCCTGTGTAGGTAAACAGGGGGTGCTAAGCTTTTTGCAATTACTGGTTAGATGAGGGAAGATGTTTTCCTTGTGGGGCAAGCTGCTTTTTATAAATTGCTGGAATTAATTAGAACGAAGTGTTAAAAAAGAATGGAGGGGAAAAAAAATCCCCCTCCTCGAAAAGCTTTTGTCTCCTTTTTCTGTTGACAGGTTTTCCAGACACTTTTTTTTTTTTTTCTGGTTGCAAGTGCTTAGTGTCTTGCATTGGAAGACAACAGCTAGGAACTGAATTCATTGCTCATCCAAGACACGTTCTTGTAACTAGAGTTTGGATTAGTGCCCGAGCCTGGGCTTTGGAAGATTTGTTTTAAATAAATGCCACACCTCCCGGGGAAGGAGGGAAAGCACTGTAAGGGGGAGTTGGGCTCCACATCAAAAGTTCTCAGGGAGCTTAAAACTTCAGCTCCTACGAATTATAATCAATAAATTAGTAGACTTGAAGGTTTATGGAACAGATGTACTTGTTAATAAGTGCTGTATAGGGGACATACATCACAGTCTGCAGATTTACTTCTTCATTTAGCAAACTTGAACTTGGCAAGTACCAGTCACTTGCATTTGTTTTTTTCTTTTCAGCTTAACCTTGTTAGGATGTGACTGTTAGTATCAGATTTTGCCAGTGATGCCGCTGATCTCTGTTCTTGTTGCTGTGAGGCAGGATCCTTGCTTTCTAAGAAAATACCTCAGGTTGTTTTTAGTAATTCCTGAAAACTTCTTCTCTGAGAAAGATGAATTGCATTTTATCACAGCCATTCCTGTTAAGAAGTCAGCGTCTCTGTTTAGGCCTCTTATTAGTTTTGGAGTGTGGTGGGATGTGAGTCAGAGTGGAAAAACGTTCTAAAATTAGACATGCATTGTTAAGAATTTTATTAAATGAGTTGCATCAGTGTCTTTTTACATTACCATTTTAATGGGCAATTCTCTGTATTCTCAGTATCATTAGTTGACTAAAAAAGGGCTGGAGAGGCAACAAACCTTTCAGCATTTCTATGTCTGCGGACATGCCAAAAGGTAAACCGGTGTGTTTGTAGGTGGACCAGTCTGCTTAAGTACGGCCTCTTTGTTCTTCTGTTACCTGTACTAACAGAACACCAGGATTGTGTTTTCCCCCAAGGAGAACAGGTGTATTATGGACTTTCAGCTTCTTACATCAGGACTGAAGCAGAGCCAGTATTTGAAAAGCATCTTATTTTGGAGATTAATATCTTAAGGGCTAAAATTGTGACCCCTCACTGAGCTGAGTACAAGTAGATGTGTCTGCTGAGCGTGCTGCAAGATCAAGGCCCAGGCTGCCTTTTGGAAACTGGCCTCTGTGCTCTGGGAACTAGTCTTTCCTTTGTAACCTCTGTTAAATGAGGTTGGTGTGTTAGATTCTTTTTTTTAATGAAAACCTTATGCAGCATATCTGGAAAAAAATTTAATTCTCTGATTCTGGCATAGTTGTAGTTCTAAATGTCGGAAGGTAGGGTGAGGAGTCATTCCTTTGTAGTCTTAGGGAAATGAGTTGTGTGAGATGTGCCCACCTGTCTTAACAGGTGAACAACGACATCGAGTGCTTTCTCTTTTTTGCTCCACGTGGAAAACCTGTTGTCTCGCAGGTCCTAGGAATTTCTAATGGTCCCAATTTTTTTGTTTTATTTTATTTTTTAATAAGACTGATCAGCAGAGAAACTGATCCCGTTGCTGTGGGGTGGGAAAGGCCGGCAGTCTGTGGGAGAGAACCATGTCTGTCCGGGAGTCGTTTAACCCAGAAAGTTACGAACTGGACAAGAGCTTCCGCCTGACCCGATTCACTGAACTGAAAGGCACAGGCTGCAAAGTGCCCCAGGATGTCTTACAGAAACTACTCGAATCTCTACAAGAAAACCATTTTCAGGAAGATGAACAGTTCTTGGGGGCAGTTATGCCCAGGTTGGGTAAGTAGCTGCTGTTCCTGACTTGTGCGGTCCTTCTGTTTGGTGTGCCTAGTGACACGGTCTCATCTGTGGTTTGTTTAATCAGTTCGAAAACTGTATGTTGTGTAATGCATGCACAGCATCCAGAAAGCTGAAGGATGAATCTCATGCTGTCACTTGTTGGCATCTGGGATACAGGAATATTATTTTACTTGTTTAACATCCTGCAGTGCACTCAACTACAAAAGAAATACACTCAGGAGTGGCCATCATGATAGGCACGTGTTCAGGTGTTAATCTGCTCCTCCCTTTCCCCAGTAGATGCTGTGCAAACTGAAGTCCTTTCAGTTAATTTCTGGGATTTTATATTGATACATTTGGAAATTTATGCAATGAATGCAATGAATTTTATGCAATTAGATGACTTGCAGGTGAAGTTCCCCTCTTCCTCCCCTCTCCTCTGTTCCTGGGTCACAAAAAGTGAACAAGAGAAAAAATTCCTTGCTTCAGCTGACTGGGAGCAAATTGTTTCACAGTTGTCATTATTCCTTTCAGTCCTTTCATTGTTCCCCACTCTAACTCTTTTGCTCACCTGTAGAAGCTGCCTGGGAAAGGCTGCCTTTCCAAGACCTCTGTGTTCTTGCCAGCTTCACTTTCTCTTTGATATTTGCACAATGATGCAAGCAATAAGGGAAAACAACCTGCACAAGCCACCTACATGGGGAACAGGGCAAACGTAGGTATTTTGATACCAGCTACTGTACCTAATATTGATATAGATAAATTAATGTCGATAATGTGTTTAATGACACTTTTAATTCTGTCTGTCTGTTTACTCAGCCCTGCATATTCAATCTCTATTTTGCAGTGCAGAATGAATTTTTTTTTTCTTTCAATTTAGGAATATCAATGGAGCATTTATTCTGAGGTTATTTAATTATCAGTTTAGTGTCCAATAACCTTATTTAAAATTATTTTAACATTGCTGATTGTCTATTAGCAGGCTGACAAGTCTCAGACAATTATTCTGTTAGAGATTGAATTCAGTGAGAGATTAGTAAGGGACCCATGTTCTTGCTTAAACAATGGGGATCTTTGTAAGAAATATCTAAGCAGCAATTGTGTGTGAAGCTGGGGAGGCACTATAATTTAATAGTCTCTGCTGAAGGACACTTCCAGCTTCTTTTATCCCCAAATTGCTGTTTATATGTATTTTTCTAAATTAAATAAATTGTTCACAGCAGCGTTTCAATTTGGCAGTTTTCTAAAATCAGTAATAGTTTGATTTGGATTTTTTTTCTCTTACAAACTTACAAGCTCTAAACAGTAATGGAACTGCTAATACATTTTTCTTCTCCAGCTATATGAAAAGGTAAAAAAGTAGATTTATGCCATCAGTATGTGAGTGTGATACTATGTAACAGGAAATCTATTAGTAATAGAAGGTGGAGAGCTCAGGTCTCTTAAAAATATGCTCTTGTGGTGAGTATCCCTTTCACAAATGTGTCTTTGGATAAGTTTGGTGTGATTTGCCTTTGATGCCTTGTGTTTAAAAGGTATAGACAGATAACTTTACCACCTGTGCATATGCACCATGCTTTTGAGATGCAGTCAGGAGGGAAGTTGCCAATAGCAGGCTCAAGATCACTCCTTTTTAGTTCTGCAAGTGATGTTACCCAGAGCAATCTTAAATGTGGCTGTAAGTAAAACACTGTTTAGTTAGACCTGTCTTGGTGGAACATCACTGTAGCCTCAGAAAGACCATCATAGCTCCTTGGGCTGTCTGTCAAGCAGCACTTCTGCTGCAGTTGTGGAAAAATGCACAAGTGAAGTCAGTCTTGCAGCATTACGGCATGAACAGGTGAACTGAGGGCAAAACAGCTCCTGTACATGGGCCACTTCTCTGTAACTGTGTGTGTGCCCTTCCCTGGAGACACTGGACATCACACAGAGTGGCTTGGGATCTTCTGTGGAGGATAAGCAGCCCTAAGTTACTGCTCATGAGCTTCTGTCAGTATGCGTTCTCTTCCAAGGCAAGATCTCCTGCCTCTGTAGGCAGGAGAAGCAAGAACCTCTCCACCTATATACTGACTGCCTGACACACCTTCCCTGTCTCCTTAATAAGACCTCAAGTGACAGCAGATAGTGTGTTTGCATAGGAAAGGCTCCTAAGTGACATCTGCTTCCTAAAAACAGGCTGTTTTGAAGACTCTTGCCCTGTGAGGTATGCAGAGTAATTCCAGGTGGCTTGCTGCCATCTCAGGTTGGAGATAAACTACCTGCCATTGCTACAAGGATAGCCACAGGGAGTGTGGCTCAGCCAGCGTGTTGTGATCTGTCACCTGCCCCTTTACTGTGGGTTTTTCCATCACAGCAAACGCTGGGAGGTTTTTAATATCACTTGCTCTGTTTGAAATACCCACTGTCAGGGCAAAGGGTGTGTGCTCAGAGTTGTGGTTTTCTCAAAGAAGTTCTGTGTCTATCAGGTTGTCTGCCACTTTCGAGCCTCACAGGCATAAGGCGAGGTTAACACAGTTGCAAGAGCTCCAAGTGTTTGAATCATCTCTCACCAAGGGCTGTGACTTGTGGCAGTGTTCTTCTTCCTTTTGAAGTGAGGGAATAATGTCCTTTATGAGAGGCTGTGTCCTTTTAAAGCTGTCACTGTGTTTTTATTGAGATCAGAGTGACAGGAAAACCTATTTACTTTTGACAATATCAATGCACGTCGTTCCTCTTAACTTTAAATGTTTAAATGTACTTACATGCAAGCACAGATGTTCTTGATGTGCTGTTATTCTGCTGCAAGAGAATAAAGAACATTGTAGTTTACTTCCATTGTAGTTCTTGCCTTCAGCTATTTATGCTTATGTTCATTGCCAGCCAGGAACTTGGTTTTTCCTCTTATTTGCTTGGTTGCTTGGTTTTTCCTCTTATTTGTGCTGTGTGCTTTCTCTAAGGAAGGAATTTGCCATGTCTGTTTAGAAAGTGTTGCAAGTTGTATTTCACAGACATGTTTTATAAGTAGTCTTGTTAAGAGCAACAGATAATTAAAGGCACAGTTACTTGCCTCACTCATGGATTTCTGTCTTTGCAGGAATTGGGATGGACACTTGTGTTATTCCATTAAGACACGGAGGTTTGTCATTGGTCCAGACGACAGATTATATTTATCCTATTGTGGATGACCCTTATATGATGGTAAGTTGGCTAAACTTAACTCTTGTCTCTGTTGCTGATTTCAGCTTCTCACCAATCCACTGGCAGTTCTGACTGTTTCTTCTAGATGTGCAGTGCTAATTGTGTGATTAATTGCATTCAGAGGCTTTCCTAAATAGGCTTGAAGAGAGAAAGGCGTCGTTTCATCCTGTAGTCTTCCATGTTGGCTGGGAATTCTGCAGTGCTGCTTTCTATAGGTGAAAGCTGGGAGAACTGCCACCTTCAATTCAAATTTCCCTTCATCTCTTGTTCTGTGGAATTTGGCTTGTAAAGTCCAAAAGGGGGAAAAAGAGATGCCTGTGAAGCAACAGAGAGTAAATTCCACTTATGAGCAGAACCACATTGTAATTGGCCTTTTCTGAGGTACTGAAGTAACCAGGTAACATGTTAGAACTGGAAATACCTAAATATCTGTAGCTGCCAATAGCACCTGGCAACCTCAGAGTGCCTTTGAACACCAGCCTTCCTGTTGTACTATCCCCACTTGAACATGGGTACATTGAAATGACTTGTTGGAAGTTGGGTGCACTTTGGCTTCAGTTGCTTCTGTGTCCCTGTTTCATTCAGTCTGTCCCAGTAGAGATTGCTGTGTGGAGGTATGTGTGGCAGTGATCAATACTGACTTGAAGAGAAGATCACGGAGAAACGAATTAATTTTAAAAAAAAGACTTAATAAAGCTGTAAGGAAATGTTAAATGAAAGTTAAGAAGTGCTAGAATTCATGGTTCCTGTGATTTGGACGTGACTCCTTTGCATGTTTTTACTGCTGTTGGGGTGCCTGCATGCTTTATTTGGTGCTGTGGGTTTGTTGTTTGCTCTGTGAGACCTGTCTGGTAGGTTTTGGACGCGCAGTTTGAGATTGGGACCAACTTTTTTCTTTTTTTAGCATGCTTGACCAGGTGGTGTGCACATATGCAAGCGTAGCTCCTTTGATTTCTGTTCCAGAAGAGCTCTTTGCAAACTGAGCAGCCAAAATCTCAGGCTGGCCTCTGGAGTATTGGGCTGTTGAGCTCTCCTGAGAAATTTGATTCAAGTGGGTTGCCTTAATATCATGTGGCAACTCGTCAGGGACCAGAGGGGGAAAAAAAATGTTGGAGATCTGTGTTCAAGTTCATCATCTGAGAAGCTTTTTTTTTTCTCACCTTGTAACAAAAACTCACGAGGGACAGTGGTGGAGGCTGTGGTGAAGGGGGAGGGTTGCTTTGCTTGGAGATACAAAGGGTTTGAGATGCTGCAGGAGTAGACAGATGAGCCTGTGCCCAGATAAGGTTTAGGCCTGTGTGGTTGGAGTGAAATGTAAATTTGGCCTTAGGCCAGCTTCAGTGTTTGCATCATAGTCACAGTCTATGCTGTGATCCACATGCACCAGCAGCTGTAACTTTGGTGCTGTCTAACTCTCAGGTCCTTCACTTTTCATTCCTGAAGGCATTCATTTTAATCTGGTGACTGGCCACTTCCTAATCTGTTTACAGATGTGTATTTCTTCCTAAAAGCTCACTGAGAACAGGGATTCTGTCACAAGCCTTCTTGCTGGTACTGGCAGTGATGATCCAGCAGGATTAATGCTGCTGGACCCTCTACTCAGACCTCTTTCTCGAGGGCTAGAGTTCCTCAAGGGGCAGTATATATGTTTGCTTGTGTGGACCAGCATTGGTTAGAGGACAGTCAAATACAACCAGCCACAGGGTTTATGGATGGTTGTTACAAACAGAGGAATGGTGAGATGTGGGAAGTTTGAGTTTGTGTCCAGGCTGTATAAAGGAGTGTGCTGTGGACTCCTCTATTCAAGACAGGCTGCTGCTGACCTGCTTCTCCAACTGCTTCTTTCCCTCATTTAAGTCTGGATGTCCCCTGACCCATGCCTGTTGTTACTACTCTGTGACCATTATCACTCATGTGCAGTCCACACTTTCCTTGCCCTTCCCCTCAGTCTCCTTACCAGGTCAGTTCTAGTCTGGTTTTGAGCAGGTATTCCCTGTTTTAGAGCCTCTTCTTTTCTCTGTGCACAGGGTTTACCTGCAGCTCCTTGTCTGCTCTCTCTTGCTTGTTGAAGGAGAGGGAGCAAAGAGGGAAATCCAGAAGTGCAGATGAACTCTAAGCTGAGTGCTGTGACAGAAGGGATTAGTAAACAGCTGAGGGAAGCAAAACTGTGTGTGGACTCAGCTGAACTTCCAATTTCTGCTTCAGAAAACAGATTTCTCTCACTCTCTCACTGCCTATTTTAAAACTAGTTCTGCAGTTATACACAAAATCATTCTTTCTTCTTTTTCCCCTTTCTCTTTCTATTTGTCTTTGAAAACACTCAATTCATGTGCAGAATTATCCCTAGGATGTACACCTGTAAAATCCATATTCAGGAGAGGATTTATTCAGCTTAAATGGTTTATTAGAAAAGTTACAAGCAATTGAAAATAGGTTTCATAATAAGCATCAATCCACTGGGAATAGGATTGGTTCTGGCTTCTGTTGTGGCACTGTGGAGACACCTGTTTGAATACAGGAGCAGGGAACTGTATAGTTTGAGAACATGCCCTTCCCCTTCTATTCCAGGAACCTTTTTGTTGCTCTTTTAAGAAGAACCTTCGCTTAGGACTGGAGATGGGTGTCTGATTCTTCATCCTTTGCCCTTATAAATAGTTCTTAGTACTGCACATAGTCCCCCCTGAAACACAAATACCCGAGCAAGCAGGCGGGTAGCCTGCAGGACTGACCCCTGTTTGTGAGTCCTGTGGTGTTTGTCAGTGTTCACAAGCTGTGTATTGTTCTCTCTGCTGCTTCAGACTTGAGACTTGTACTGAATTTGTTTCCATAGTGGTTTTGGCAGTTGGCAAAAGGGTTGTTAGACTGACCTCTGACTATCAGAGCTGTTGTCATTGTTGTTTTAAAAACTTATCTCTTGGTTCCTAACAGGGCATAAACCAGCAGCTTGCTTGGTAAATACTGAAGATAACACAGAATGGTTTTAGTTCCCTTCCAGAGAAGGGGAATAATAGGCATCTAGAAATTTAACAGCCAGTATCCATCAAACCATGCAATACCCAGCTCACTCTTTTCTTAATAGTTTAAGATTTAAGTGATTAATCCCTATTCCAGTTCCAAATGTAAAAGGTTCCCCTGGTGCTACTGGAAGGTCTTGATCGTATGAAAAACTGGATTATATTTAATTGTGATTTGGGCATGTTGTTTTATGTCATCAGCAAGTGAGGTAACTGCCTGAAAATAGTACTTTTTTGCGAATTGTCCAAATTTTGTCAAATAAGCATGCTGTTGTTTTTTATCACGGTGGTGTTGCCTGTGAACCCGATTTAAAATCATAAAAACAGATATTGGTTACCATTCTGCAGCTGTAAACCTAAAATGATTTTCATAGCATGCATGGAGTTTTCCAGGGTAACACAACAGGATTTGTCCTGTGTTTTGAAATATCTTGCTGTCCCCTGGGGCACATCCTGTGTCAGGAAGTTCTGCATCTTCATCAGGAAACTGGATGTCTCATCTGTGCTGGGTCCATACCCCAGAAACTCTGACTCAGAACCATTAATTTAGTAAAATTAGAGTAGCTAATTTCATGTGACACAAGTGATGGCTTCTCAGTGCTGTCAGCTTCCTGACTTCTTGGCTGTATCCTCCGGGAAGAGAAGTACTCTCCTAAAAACTGAAGAGTGTAGACATGGCCTTCAGGGTAGTGCAGAGGACAAACAGCTTTCTCATCAAGGTCCCTGTCTCCTGTGCATTCTGATGCAGAAGAGGTACAGCAATACAGCATTTTGGATTGGCTTCCTAGCAGTTGTGAATTCCATGCTATGGTCATCTTCATCTGGATGTACAGTTTTGTGCTGGAATAAAGTTAACAGGAATGTATCAGATGAAGTAAATTGAGCTTGTTAGCAAAAACAGACTGTCAGTCTTAACTTCAGCCTCTCAGACTGGACATGCAGTCTGAACTCTGGGATTCCTACACAGTCAGTAAGAGAGAATGCTGAGAAAGACAGCTGGGATGAATTCTCCCTGTTCCTGTAAAAGGAGCAGATCCTGGACTTTTAGATGGACACATAGCATGAAATGGATCATCCTACATCTGTGGCTGGGTTTCTTAATGCTGGAGCCTGTGGAATAAGCAGCTGTGTCAGAGTGCAAACCCATTCTGGAAGCTTTGTTCCTGGCAGGTGTTTAAACATTCACCTACACTCCTGCAGATTTTTTTTTTTCTGTCTTTCTTTCTCTTTCAGGGCCGGATAGCGTGTGCCAATGTCCTAAGTGACCTTTATGCCATGGGGGTCACAGAATGTGACAACATGTTGATGCTCCTTGGAATCAGCAATAAAATGACAGATAGGGTAAGATTTTTGATACTTTCTTCTGATGGAAGACCTGAACAGCTAAGTGTGCTTAGAACGTATTTACCTTTAGTGTATTTTCTCCCCAGAGTTTGAACCCTTTTAAAGAAGAGATGGTTTTGTTGAATAGCTCAGTTCATAGTATGGATCTTGCCTCATGAACATTCTGAGGTCAGGTGCTAAAAGTTCAGTTTCCTGTGGCATTGTAATCTGCTGCCTTCATCCCCACCAAAATGAAGTCCTTCCTTCTGTCACTTCAGGACAATACTGCTCCAAGGCCAACATTTGATTGCCAATTCATAGATAATCCTTGGTTGGTTTTGCTTTCTTTTTATTTTTTTTATTTTTTTTTGTTGGTTTGTTTGTTTGTTGGTTGGGTTTTTTGGTTTTTTCTTTTTTAGTGGAAGTGACCAGCATGTATGTTTGTTTTGCTGTAGCAAAAAAAAGGATGTTTATTCTTAGAAGGATGTAAGTTGAAACTTTGCTGGTTAGTAGAGGCCAAATGTATCTTGATTTAACTTGGCCTTATTGCACCCGGCTGCTATGGCTGTGCCTGATTAGAGCAGATGGATACTTTGTCCTGAGTTCCCAGAAGACTGGTTACTTTTACATGACCTTTTGAAGAATGTTTCCTCAGTGTTAAGTGTCTTTCCACCTCTTTCACGTGGAGCTGTAAAACCATAACTGTATGGGATAACATGCAGGTTTCAGGAGGCCAGACTCTTCCTGAGGCTGGCTTGTCTGTCTTGAACTATTTGCCATGAGGGCATTTGGCTTGAGTGATTAAAGCCCTGCACGAGTCTTGAAATGACGAGCACTGCTGTGTATGGAACTCTGACTTCTGTTTTGATCTCTAGGAAAGAGACAAAGTGATGCCTCTAATTATCCAGGGTTTCAAAGATGCAGCAGAAGAGGCAGGAACATCTGTTACTGGTGGGCAAACAGTGTTAAATCCCTGGATTGTTCTAGGAGGAGTGGCCACGACAGTCTGTCAGCCTAATGAATTTATAATGTAAGTTAATCACTAAACAACCAAAGGCACTGGTCTGAAGGGGTACAGTAAAAACCCTGTAAGCACCGTGTTGTGATGTTGTGGGGTGTCTCTGATGAATAAAGCAGTGCCTTCTGCTTGCATTTGTCCTCAGCACTCAACAGGTGCCACAACTCTTTGTCCTATTTGCTTTTTTTAGATAGGATGTCCTCTTACTTCTCCCCAGCCCCCAGTACCTTTTGATCCTATTCTCCTTTTGACAGGAGACTTAAGCTTCTAATTTTCAAAGATATTGGAGACTGTTTTGAACATAAATTTCTGTCACATTTATACATAAGTTTCTAAGCCATCTCCCAGTTATCCTGTTAATGGCTGTAGAAAACTACAGAATTGTTGTATTTACAGCATTCAGTCCATTTAACAGAAGCTGATCTTCAGTGTCCCTCTGTGGCATGTTATACTATACAAGAGTTTGTTCATGATCCTAATATTGGGTATCTTACACCCTGGGTAACAAAGGTCAATTTTTCCCCCTGTCCTTGTTTATGTCTCCAGTAAATTGACAGAAAAGATGTAATTTGGTGTATGTCTGACTGCAAGCATTGTTCTATTCTGAGAAAGAAGGACTAGCACTTTTAAATAAGTTTGCAGCACTTTGCTCAATAATATTGCATGGCAGTGAATCCCCAGGGGTAATTCTGCAATTAGTCAGTTTTTTAACTGTGCAACAAGATACATGGGGCTGTGAAAACGTAATTATCAGCACTTGTTCCTAGTGACGTTTGTGAATCTTGCTATGTAATTAATGTATGAATTCTTTGTTTTCAGGCCAGACAATGCAGTGCCAGGAGATGTGCTTGTATTAACTAAACCCTTGGGAACACAAGTGGCTGTAGCTGTGCACCAGTGGCTAGATATTGTGAGTACACTACAAAAAAAGAAACAGGGAAGAGAGTTGTGAGTTAAAGGGGACCTCCCTTATTCCTTCAAAATGACAAAGTTCAGCTCATGTGGGAGTGATCTATCACCTCTCCTCCTTCCTCCTTGGTGTCTCAGCTTTCCCTGCTTACATGCAAGACTATCAGAATCAAGGCAGTTTAATATTTTGTGCTTAGTGAGCCCTTCTTAATTGCACCTAATTCTTAGTTATTTCTCAGGCATTGCTGTAATAAAATTGTTTACTAACGGAACAACAGACTAGCACCCTGGGTAAAATTATTCCCTACTCCACCTGCCAAAGTAATTGGCAACACTTATTGATGGCAATTAGGCCAAGAGTGCTGTCTGTGCTCTTGGGCTTTCTGCTTGTGTACATGGAAATATATCTATGTTTCACATGTATTGCCCTGTGCATTCAATAAGAATACTTCTAGCAGCATTATGTATGTAGATATACTTCCATCTGTTTCTTCAAGCAAAAATATAACTACTGAACTGAAAAGTGATTGCAAAATTGGCATCTGCTTATGTTGTCTGGCTCCCACTATGTGTCTTCAAAATTATAACTGCTCAGTTTACACTTCAAAAAGATGCATCTTTTCTACTTTTGGGACTACTGAGCCAATAGACTGGCAGAGGAGTGAGCTGGAATCTACTTTGGTTTGGCTGTTGGCCACTGCATTGTCAGATGAATTCTAATTACTCAGCTAGTGTTAGAAAAGTGGGAGAGAACCAGCTTAAACCTTCGTTGGAGTCTGAAGCGTGAGCAACAAGAGAAAAATATTTTTCTCCTTCTGTACAGGATCTGGCCTAGTTCTGACCTCTTCAGAATCCTGTGTTTTTTCCAAACAGCTATAAGGATCAGGGCCTCAGATAATCTTGATATGAAAATGGAGTGAAACAAGACACCAATTTTATAGTATGTTTTCTGGCCAAAATCTTACTTCTTAACTTATTTGTTATTGTACTGATGAGCAGACTTGAATATTAAGGATATTCTGAATTTCCACATATTTCAAATACTACTAATTTCCTTGACTGTCAAACAGAAACACTTTCAGTCTGAAAAACAAGGACAGCAAGGAAATCAATCCTCCTATTATGTGTAAACAGAATATAACTTCAGTTGTGTTAGGAAAATTTCTGAGCAGCTGTGCTGCCTTTTCTTTAGATTTGTTTTATGAAAAAGTAGGGAAAGGGAAACTAGAATTACCCATCACAAATCCATCTGTAAATGAAATTTCGGTAGGGAATTGGACTTTGTATGAAAAAGTGTGTGGGAGAAGCTATAGTACATCAGGTTTATGCATAAGGAAGAAAGGAAAAGTGGAGTGTAGAGATATGTGGCTGAAATATAAATTTTAAAAAAGCCCAACAACCTAAAAGCCGAGGTATTTAAACAGGGCAGAAGTGAGCAAGTTCCTGGTGACAAGTGAAAGGAAGATCCAAATGAAGGTGAAATTTGTCCTTCTTGCTTGGTTGCTGCCAGCACTGCTGCAGCCAGTCCCAGCTGTGTTTCTGGGAAGAGGCTGCAGAGCCTGCAGGGAGCTGGGCTCCATGGGCCCCAAGATCAGGTCAGGGATGTGCCAGGGGTGATGGAGCCATTGGCTGTGGCTCTGGCAGCCAGGCTGGTCCTCAGCTGGGAACTGCAATCCTTTGCTTTTTCTCTTTTAAATGCATGAAAGCAGTTGCTCTGATGTGCCCCTTCAGAGAGGGTTTTCTGGCCTTGGTGTTGTCTACAGACCCTTCAATTTGGAAATCTAAGCTTGCTTTCAAAACTTGTTTGGGAGTTTTTGTAAACTTTTCTGCCTTTGTTCCCTGTTGACTAACCCAGGTATTTGATTACTGTAGTGGAGAGGAATTTGCCTCTTTGTAAGCTACCTGTGTTTGTGGCTCTTACAGCCTCAGCCTTGAGTTCTGCTTCTCCATAGTTCCTGATTTCCATTCCCATCATCTGACTGGTTTCCATCCCATGATCAGCCTTAGAACTTCGTTTTTGAAAACTAAAGCAGAGTGATTGCTCAAGTTTTTCAGTCTTACCCAGAGTAAGAATAATCACTGTTCTGTCATCTCTGTAACAGACTCATTTTATTTTTTGACAAGGTCTCTCATTTATGTAAGCAAAAATGCTTTTCTTAATTAATTGGTAGATCCAGTTCAACCTAAGTTTAGAAACTCTGATCCCACTGCCATCATTCCTTGCTCTTTCCAAATTTATTTGTTTCAGCTGACCAGTCTTTCCCCATTTTACCACTTCTGGATTCTCTCTTACACCCCTTGAAGTCAGTGTCCATTTGTTAAGACAAGATCCTCCACCAGTGCAGCATCATGCATTGATTCTTAGTACTTTTTGCACCTTTGGTTTAGTAAGAGGTTTGTTCTGTGCGTTTACTCTATGGAATGGCAGTGTAGGCATTGTGGCTTCAGAAAATCCTGTGTTTGTTTACTTTCAGTTCTCTGTAATTTTTTTTCATTGAAAAGAAGTTTAATTAGTTTGTAAATTAGTTTGCTCTTAACAGTTAAATAGTTGCTTTGTTTCATTCTGGATCTGGAATCCCTTCAGCTTGGAATGAAGCAATTAGTCTTTATAAAGGTACCACTTGCTAAATTGTTCTGAAACCCTTCTGGGATGAAAAGCATTACTTGGAATGTGATGAAGAAATGAGTCCATACAAGACACTGGAGAATGGGTGGAAGGGGATGCTGATATTAAACTGTAAAGCAGACTAATGAAACTGCCTTAATCCTCAACCAGAGTGATAATATCCTACCTTAGCATACATTCCTCTGACTTGGACTGGTGAATATCAGTGGTGTTTCCTGATCAAGGTGTCCAGGTGTGAAATCAAGAATTTTTTTCTCTTAAAAAAAAGAAGAAACCAGAGATTACAAATCTCAACTTCCAGCAACCAAGTTCTGTTTATTCGGCTGTGGGGATTCAATCCGGAGAGTTGCCTTGAAGGAGTTTTTGCCCTGAGGTAGTTTATTCCACTCCACTAAGCTGCTGACAGCAGGATTTGAGGTGCCTAATAGATCTTGGGTACAGCAGAGTAAGGCACACACCTCTGACTGTCGACCCTTTTGCCTCACTTTAACTGAGTTTTTTAAAAAGTACATTTTTGATTAGGGAATTTTTTTTAAAAAAAAGGGGTAAGGGTATGCTTTAAAATATAAAACTGAAAATCTAAAAGAATCATCTTTATTTCATCCAATAGCCTGAAAAGTGGAATAAAATCAAGCTTGTGGTAACGCAAGAGGATGTAGAACTCGCATACCAGGAGGCAATGATGAACATGGCACGGCTGAACAGAACAGGTAAGAAGGGGAAGGGGGCTGTGGGTTTTTCCACTTCCATACCAAATTTCATTTCACTGCCATGGGGAAGTGTGACACAACCGCTTTATCCTTTTCTTCTGCCCCATCTTTTTGCTTGGTCAGTGTTGGTGAAATAAGCAAATTTAAATCAAATCCCCTCTTTTAATTACACAGCAAAAACACAAAGCTGCTGGATGCGATTATGACTCGTGTGAGTAACATCCCAGAGAGTTAGAGGATGCTTTAAAGGAACATATATTGGATTTGTTCTTTATCTTCTGTGCATAGAGAAGGCCTGACACTGATAAGGTTAAAAGAATTTGAAATAGAATAAGAAGGGAAAAGCTCTTATGTTATGTAAGCTTCAATTTAAATTTTGGGGTTTTTTAATTCAGTCATGTTCTGTGCTCCCCAAAGTGTGGAATGTGTAACATGTGGTCTCTTTTTTGTTTGTCTTTTTCCTGGTTTTGTGTGTTGGTTTGCATTTTTTATTCTTAATTTTGTTCGAGGGAAGGTTCTGCTCTTACGCTAGAAATTTTATTTCAGGATTTCCCTTATTTGTTCAAAGTATCTTTGACAGAGTAGAGAATTGAATTATGTGTTTTCTTACTTACTTCTCACTTGAAGAAACAGGGATAGTTAAATATCTCTTTTTCCATTCAGCTTTCATTTCTTATGTCATCCCACTGGTTTGGTTTTTTTTTTTTTGTTATGTCACAAAGGCTTCCAGGAAAAATAAATGACCAGGGATTGTCTTATGGAAAAAAATTCAGTCCTGCTTGTGTATTGGGAAGCACCAGAGAAGGGCAAAGCATTCTTGGTTTTGTTTTTTTTCCACTCTCTCATCAGGCACCTTTAACAACACTTAAATATTCTTAACTGGGCTATTGTCCTGCATGCTGAGGTGCCCTTTTTCCCATCCTGGAGTTCCAAATGTGCAGAAATTTCATGAATGCATAGGTGGGGAGGCTGGGGCTCTTCCCCCACAGCCTGCAGGCTTTGTTCTTAAGCTCTTAAACTTTGAGTGTCCAGCAATTAAGTTCTGATGTCACCAATTCCCAAGTGGTAGAGGAAGAGATGTGAGAAGACTGACCTGTGTCTGGTCCTTGCCCTTAGTAAAGCAAAGCTGAGCTCAGAACCTCTCTGGCCCTCAGCTAGATTTGAATCTGAAGCAAACCCCTGTTTCTCAGACTGCCAGTATAAATTAGTAGCACATGTCTAATAGAACATGCCCACAAATGCAGCTTTGATGACAGATTTTCAGCATGATTTAATATCTTAAATACAAGTTGATTTTTTTTTTTTAAGTGTTACATGCAGTATTGGTGAATTCCAGTTCTCTTCAAGCATGATTTTATTTATTTTATTAATTTAACCCAACCCGATTTGGATTAAAGGTATTCAACTTCATTCAGACTGTTAACAATATTGCTGAAGCATTGCTTTTCCTCATAATTAATTTTTTTCTGATTTGGTATTTTCCCCCCCCCCCTCCCTCTATTGTAGCTGCTGGACTCATGCACACTTTCAATGCACATGCAGCTACAGACATCACAGGATTTGGGATCCTGGGGCATGCACAGAACCTTGCCAAGCAGCAGAGAAATGAGGTGTCCTTTGTGATCCACAACCTTCCCGTTCTTGCCAAGATGGCTGCTGTCAGCAAGGCTTGTGGAAACATGTTTGGCCTCATGCACGGCACTTGTCCAGAGACTTCAGGTAGGTGACAGTTGTGCCACCCTCTTCCTTCCCTGCACCCCCACCTCAGAATTTAATATCAAATGTACAAATCGTGTGCCTTGTGTGCATTCAGCAGCACTGTTGGCTTGGCAGGTAGCCAGGCTAATGAGCATCAGCCACACAGCTGTTCACAACTGACTTCTTCAGCCTAACTTCCAAACCACCATCCTGTTCTGAATGCCTTCCACTTCCATATGGAACACTGTTGTAGAAACCCTGGGTTTGCAGGGTTTGCAGTTAGAAGTTTGTGATGGTTTTAGGTTTGTTACTATGAAAATCTGTGAAGCTGAGTGATGAATGGGCTAGTCTTTGTGAGTGAGGCCTTATCTGTCCCCAGCATACAGACATCCAAGAATATAGATTTTCTCCCTTACTTTTATGAAATTAGACTATAAGGGACTATGACTAACAGAAAAAAAAAATTGGTCTCTGACCCTTTCATTACTTGAGTTGCCTGCTTAATAAAGCTGCCACTTGCAGTGACAGTGAATACAACAGACTGTAAGGAGGATCTGGCTGTGGACAAACATTTACGGAGTTGTTAAGTTGCTTTTTAAGAGTAGGCCACTTCTCTGATGAGCACAATCACTGTCCTCTGCTAGAAGTCTTTCTACTTCACTTTCCCCTTGAATCTTCTGTCCTGCTCTGTTATGTTTTTTCTAATTTAATCTGACTTCTGTTTCTCTTTGGGAAATGGAGAAGATGTAGCACCAGATCTGTCTTTTTCTCTTACCTCATTTCTCCACCCTCTTCCGGCTCTCCAAAAGTATTATCCAAGTTCTCTGCAGTTCACAACAGAGGGGGCCCCTTGAAGCTAAACAGTCCAAAGATCTGGAAAGAAGCATCAGAGTGAGAGCCATAAACTTTTTCCCTGGTGAATACACAACTTACCCCGATCTGAATTGTCCCTTGGCCATCTGTGTTTGAGCAGACACTCTGTCCTACAGAGACTGTGTGGCTCAGATGATGTGTAATAGGATATGGGATGTAAAGCCTTTGAAGAGTTCAAGAATCCAGTATCAGTAAGAAGGGACCAGAAATACCTGGTGGCAGCTTGGCAAGATGTGTCAATAAGATTGGTAGCACCAGACAGATTCTCACTACCCAGAGCCCACCTAGCCAGAGTGCTGGTAGCATTTGTTATCAGTTGGAAAGAGTCCAAAAAGTAGCTGGGACACAGAGCTGGAACTGCAAGGTGCTCTTTCGGGTGAGTGGCTATAGCAGAGGTTTGAATAGCAGTTGGTGTGGGAATGGTTTAGCTGCAAAGTCTTCGGAGCTGCCCATACTGCTCCCTGGGGATACCCAATTCTGCCTTTTCACTGAGGGAATGTGAAGCAGTGCAGATGGATGTACTGCTGGGGAGTGGGAAACGCTTGACTTCAGAATCTCTTTCGGGACTTGAGAGCAAGAACTGTCTTTGAAATGCTGAGCAGCCTGTGTTTGGCAGAGATGGATGATGATGGAAAAACCAGCGAGACTTATCTGGCTGGCTGTGAGCTGTGGGTGCCTCAGAGCTTGTCTGTTTGATTTCATCACAGCACTGGGTTTCTCACATTAGAGGTGGCCACAGGGATTTGTGAGAGGGCAGTGTCTGCCAGATATTCAAAAGATCTGTAGCCACGTGGACACACCAGCCCTGCCCTGAAAGCTGTGTAACCACACTCACACAGGCTTTGGGCTTGCACTGCACAGCCTGACGTGTCTCAGCAGTGTGTGAGCTCGGGCAGGCAGTGCTGGGATGGCTCCTTCAGACCCAGGCTGTCTGCACACCTCGAGTCCTGGAGTTGATTTATGTGAAGGCATGGCTCTGCCTCCCTGTGCCTGATACCCAGCTGTGAGGAAGCCTGTTGGGGGCTGCTCAGGGCTGTTCATACTGTGATACAGACACTCTCCTTCTCTGTTGGCTTAAACTTCCAGACACGCTCTGTCTGTCGCTTCTTCATCTGTGAACAGATGTTTTTCAGCAGACTGGGCAGGCAATGAGAAATTTACTGGAAAACTATTTGAATGGATTTTAAGGTTATTATGGGATTTTTTTTCCCCGTGTGCATTTGCTGGCCACCTGTTGACAAAAGTCAGCGTTGAAAAGATCTGTTACATCATCTCTTCCATCTTCCAGGCACTCTTGCTTATGGTGTATTTTCTTAAAAGTGCACTTTACATGAATTTGTGCTTTCTATTAGGTAATTCTTTGCTGGTGGTTAAAGTTGCAGTCAGGCAGTTGGTTTCCAAAGAATTAACTCTGTTAGAGTGGCTGCTTGCAGAGATAAGTCACAGAGTTACTCTGTATGGGACCCTTATGCATGTGTGTATTTTTGCCATCCTCCTCTAATAACTTTTGAAGCTGCTGGCTGGTGTCAGATGACTTTTTTAGCTGTAGTAGAGGTATCAGCATCTTTATGTTTATGCACATTTGGTGGAAATTGGCAGATGGGTAGAAAAGAAGGGCTGTGTCAGTGCCTGATTAGAGGCAGGGCTAATGATCTCATCCAAGTCATTGTGGGAGAAAGCCATTAGCAGGGGAAAGGACACTTGGTTTTGATTCATGAACTGTTTGTATCTCTGCTCTTAATTGCAAAGCTTTGTCTAGCCTGCTTTTGAAGTGTTCTATGTCCACTTCTCTGCTTGCAATACTCTTAAAACAAGCACTGTTCAAAACCTCTTACCAAAAAAAAAAAAAGCCTTTTATTTTTAAAAAGATAAGCCAGGACAGATACCAAGTATCTGCCTCCTTTCAACTCCCCAAAACCAGAGCAGCTGGGAATACCAATAACAAACTGGACTAGAATAAATAGTAGGGAATCTTAAGGACTTACCCAAGGCTTAATGAAACTGGTCAGTCTAGCAGAGAAATAAATATAATCCCTGCATAGAGGAAACCTACTGCTGGCTGAGAGTAACCCATAGCATTTATTGATTGATCAATAACCCATAGGGTTATTGATTAAACTGTGGGAAGCAGCCAGCAGGTGGGAAGCGATTTTTCACTGGAAACTGGGATTTTGTACTTGTGTTTGATCTTGCCAAAGAATGATAACGGACTACAGGTACCAGTGATACAAAATTCCAGAAACAGAGTGTGTGTTGAAAAGATAATTGAGTGAAGATTACTTTTGTGCTCTTTCTCATTTCCTTTTTTGCCATACTTGTACACCTCCCTTCTGGCTGGTTAGTACATTCTCTGCACTCTCTCTTGTAAACCTCTTCCCTGACTTGCATCATGATGTAAGTTTCTCTTCAATTTGATTTAGAGCCTTCCATGAGAATGTCACATAATTCCTTTGCAATTGATTTGTCTGTTATATCCGGAGTAGTTTTAAGCACTGTCATTCAAGCTTATGGGGGTTTTTTTGTTGTTGGGTTTGATGGAAGTACCTGGATGTTATTTTTGAAATGTCAGAGAGGTGGGCATTTTCTGGCTGGCACACTTGTTTTCTTCATGTAGAATTGAAAAAATTGCTTTTGCTCTTCCATTTATCCTTATCATTAATTCCTCACGTTCAGTAGCTGCTTCTTTGTCATGGCCTCAAATTAAAAATATCTTTAGTCACCACTGAGAGGACTGACTGTGTGCTTGGAAAAGCAAACATAAAGGTGGCTAAGGTCAAATGTAAAGGTGCCCAAGGTGCCAAGGGCCTGTCTGGGGGCTGTGGAGCAGGAGGTGGCACTGAGCCCGGCTCAGCAGTTGGCCCTTTGCCCCAGGGTTGGCCAGAGTTGGTGGCATAACTTGTGAGGGTCAAATTACTCTTTAGGAGTAAGTGAGCCTCAGCATGTGCCCAAATTTCTGTTTGTGTGAATCTACTCTCTTGCCTGTGTTCTCCAGACATTTTCAATTCACTTGCTAAGGTGCCTTTTTCAGTGCTTTGGGATTCTTAGAGTGGAAGTGCTCTGAGGTTTAATCCTGGAATGGTGAGATTGCTAACTAGTTAACTGTGCTGCTTCTGAAAGCACTTTTTAGTAAATAAAATATTTTCACTTGTGTCTGAGGAAAAAAAAAAACTTAAATGGAAGGCTAAAAAATTTCTCAAACAAAGGGGTCACAAGGACTGTCACAGGGAGCACTGGATCAAGCCTGTGTTTAATGTTCTGCCTCTTGCATTCTCAGCAGGGCAATGGTCCCTGCTTTGATGAATGATTTCATTGCAGGCCATGGGATTACTCACAGAATCAGCTGCCACCAATATGTGGTTACAGGTATCTGCACATGACCTTTACCCAAAATGTTTCTGTGTAAAGGCACGTTGCAGTCCTCTGTGGAAGGTTACAATGCTGGGGTTGTTTCAGTATGTCATTTGTTGGCATCAGTACCACGTCCTTTTGCCAACATCTTTTGTGTGTATTTGGCTTCATTTATACGAAACTAAACACTGAATTCAGGCACAAACCTCTTGCTGCAAAGCAAGAGCTTGGACTTCCATGGTGCCTTCTCTTGGAATCGCTGGATTTCATTAGACTCCACTGAAGTCACCAAGTGCTTGTCCAAGTAGGGCTTTGGCAGATGCAGGTTCGAAGTGCTTTGCAAACAGATGTCTGATGGTCTGCTCTCTCTCTCTTCCCAGGAGGCCTCCTCATCTGCTTACCACGGGAGCAGGCAGCACGGTTCTGCGCCGAGATCAAGTCTCCGAAATACGGCGAAGGGCACCAGGCGTGGATTATCGGGATCGTGGAGAAGGGCAACCGCACGGCCAGGATTATAGACAAGCCACGGATCATTGAGGTGGCACCACAGGTGGCCACTCAGAACGTGAACCCCACGCCCGGTGCCACCTCTTAATAGAGATCAAATAGCTGTTTTGTTTTTTGAATAGATCTATTCCTTTATCATCCTACAATTTTAAGAACTGTAAAAAAAAAAAAAAAAAGAAAAGAAAACTTGTTGTGTCTGCACATCTGGTGGCCTTAGGTCAGTTTATGAGTGGATACAAATAATAAAATGAAATCCATTGCCTTTTTTTCCTGTTACATTAACTGAAGATGCACCTAATCTTGAGGCAGCTTCTGAGTTGAGAATTATATTGTTATCCAATACTGTTGATTCATTTTGAATCTTTAGACACTTATCTCTTGCCGCATAGGCTCTTTTTAAAGGTGCTTTCACGTAGCACAGACATTACCAGTAGTAGTGTCAAATAGCAGTTCGTGTCCTTTCATTATGTGTATATTTATCACGAGTCTAATTTTGATGCCTTGAGTGATATTCCAGAAAGGCAATAAATTGACAAGCGACACAGTGGGTTACCCAGTAGTGAGATGGTTGCATGATTGCATTCAATCTTCGATTTATTTTATTTTTTAATTTTTTTTTTTTGGTAAGGTTTAGTCTTACCAAGAGCATCTACGACCCTGGACTTTGCTTGGTAGTGCATTCAGTTTAAACAGCAAGTGCTGACTCTTTGCATGGAAAGCGCTTCAGAGTCGAAGGAGTAATTTCAAATTTCATTATTTGTAGACCTGACAATATTTACTGTATTATCAATGATTGTTTTCTTTATTGATAGTAAGGACAAATAATTCTTTTTTTTTTTTTTCCTTTTGCAACGTGATTGGATGTGCTATAGTGCAACAAAGGTTTTTCAGACCAAAAGGAGGTTACTGTATAATATTCATTTACAATTCACTATATAAATAACTACACAAATAATTTTTAAATATAATCAAACTAAAATAAACCTCTGTTCTGTGGATGGTAGTGTTTAATACATTTTATATTTTGTATAGTGATTACAAGCCTTTTTTGTTTCTTTTAAAATCAGCAGCTGTTTAGTATAATTCTTAGTATTATTTTGTTCTTTGCTCAAATACATTTTTCTGCACGCTTTTGTGATCTGTGTTTAAAACCAACATTGCCAACATTGCAGCTTGAACTTAAGCTTGTTATTCAAAATAAATATTTAATTTTTTTTATTGCTCTTGTATAAGTGCATGAACTTTTGATTCCTAGCTGAATTATTCCCTGGAAAGAGGAGAAATCCTCCGGCTTTTTTATTCTATTGCATGTATGATTATATTGATAATTGTGATTGCTCCTTTAATCAGTTCTCCAAGCTGTGATATCCAGTGGTAACCTTGAGTAAAGCTGGGGGCAGGCAGGTTATCTTCAAGTATATTATCCACTCTGTTTTGTTTATTTTACTCACCAGCACCAAGTAGGCAACATTTTGAATTGTTTCCTCTGCAAGTGCTCCTGACTGTGCCTGCTGTCAGCAAAGACAGGCTCCTGAGCAGCCCTGTCCTGGAATGCTGGATGCTGGAGCCCATTTCTTCCCATTGCAGCAGCCTCACAGCTCACCCTGCTCTGCTCAGACACACCGTGCCATCCTTCTTCTGAACTGCACTGAACCTGCTCTAGTGAAGCTTCTCCCAGATTCTGGAATTCGCTCTGTGATATTTGGGCCAGGAAGAAAAAAGTCTTGGATAACCATTACTGCAGCCAGAATTAAAAAGGCTTTTGTCTATGAACATTGAGTCGCTGGAGCTGAGCCAATCTCGTGCATCATGCAAGGTTTAAATTTCCAGTCTTCCTCCTAATGGCATCTCTGGCAAAACTTGGCTCATCTTTTTTCCACTCAGGTTCTCAACCTTTTGCAAAGCTAGAATTTTTTTTTTTTCTTTTTTTCATCCCCTCCTTGGGAATAGCTTAAGCCATGCAGACCCTCACGCTCCTTTTCCTCGAGATGAAGTCCAAGAGTTGCTTGTTCACCACGAAGCCTCAAAGCAATAACCAAGTTTTTGACTTTGTCTTGAGGAAAAAAAGTTGCTAGGTTTTTCCCAGCAGTTCTGAAGCATCAAAAACCAGTCGTGAAAAAAATTGATTTTCCTTTTTTCTCCCCTGCTGTTTTGTGACATTTGTTCTGTATCCTGATGTGAAACCATGGACCTGACTTCTGTTCATTTGCTTTATTATGGTCATGGACAAGACACTACTTAAGGGTTTTTTTTTTTTAAACTAATAAAATCACCTAAGTAGATCAAATGGGTGCAGAACAGTTCAGTACTTCTGCATGAAAGTGCTTATTACAAAGATCTGTTGTATTTTAAACTGGCACTGGATGTGTGTCAGTTCACCCTTGGCAGGAAAAGGTTCTGGTTGGTAGATACTGCTGGGCTTTTTTCACTTGTTATGAGGGTTAGTTCATGAGCCAGGTGTGAAAACATTTCTCCTTCCCTAGAAGTGACTTGAATGGCAGAATGATCATCTCCAAGGAAAGGGTGTGTGGAAAGGTGAGTGGAAATCCACAGCCATCAGCAAGAACCATCTGGACTTTTGGAGGAAGACTTCCTGTGAGACAGATGCAAGTAAAACCCCGGAGAAGAATCAGTCACTTTCCATACTAGTGTAGTCATATGATCTGACTCAGAAGCCTCTCCTGATGCTCCCTCATGGCTGGAATTCACATCCCAAAGCGCTTCCTGGCTTTGGGTGATGAGTTGGGACATCCTCTGTGAGAACCACCTAATCACTTGGGGTGGGCAGTGATTTGTGTAAGAGGTTTAATGATTTGTTTCGCTAAATCAAGGATTGTACACCAGGAATGAGCTGTAGGAGAGTGTATTGTAAGGGGCTGGCAAGTCTTGAGTCCTGCACCTTTATGCAAGACTCGAGATCTCCTCTTAAACGAAGATTTTTTTTGACATGCTGTCATCAAAAAGCTGTGAGAAAGCAGCAGTGAACAGCTGTTTTTATTAGTCATGTCCAGTCATTTACACAAATGTAATGTACTTTTTTTTCATACACAGGTACCTCTGTGTGCACCAGCTCCCATCCCTCGGTCTGTACGAGAAGGCTGCCTGTGAAACTCCATCCAAGTTGTGAAAAAAGAAAAAATTCTTTCTTTAAAAAGAAAGAATTTAGTAATTGAAATAACCACTAGCCTAAACAATGTATTTGTTAAGTAGCATATATTCCTTGGAAAGTTAGTATCTGTTATCAGTCTTTTAATATGTTGGTTTCCTCAGCCTTTTGCTTTTCTTCCTGTATGAGGGAAGAAATAACACTCTTGAAATCTGCAGCAGTATATAAAGCCAGAATAGTTTTGTCCTTTTTTTTTTTTTTTTGAAGTTATTATTTTGATTTCACGCTTTGCTAGGAATTCAGGACTGACCCTTTTCTAATTAGGAGATTATGAAAATCAGCGTGAATGCTGCAGTGAGAGGACAGCAAACCTGAGTCGCTGTGGGGGAGTGGATGGGCACAATGGCTGGTGCTTAGTGTTTCACTGATTTTTCACTGAATGTCTGGTGAACAGTTGGGAAGATTCACCTGGGTGCTCATCCGTATTCTGACCACGAGATGTGATTGGCAACCCTTTGGCTGCTGCTTGAAGAGGGAAAAGGAATCTTGGAATTCAGCAGAGCCCAGGAACTAGAGCAAAGCGCAGGGCAGAGAAGTCATCCAGACCCTTGACCTTTTATTTGTCACTATGTCCCCCTATTTTGTTCTCTATTGGATCCATGTTTCCCTTTTCCTCCTTTTCACTGCTAATGTGTCCCCAGAATCCCTCCTTGAATCTTCTGGTCATGAGAAATGAACCTGTGCGTTGGTGGATTTTGTTTTTCTTGTTATTGTCTCATCTACATCTGTTTTCCCTGGCATCTCAGTTAAAAAAGCTAATTTTGCTGAGTTGGAGCAGCTGCCACTTCCCACCATAGTAAATTAAGCTTTCAGAAGACCTCATCTTTGGAATTACAGTTCTGATCATAATGTGGATTTTAATAGTCAATTGAGATGCTTATTAAATTATAACACTGTGCATTAGGAACGTTCATGTGCTGCTGGAGAAATCTCAATCGTTTAGGTTTTATTAGTTTCGTGATTTAATGAACAGAAAACATTAAAACTAAAAGCCAAATGCAAACCAGCTGTATAAAAATGTTCTATAAAATTCAGGAAACTGACAGACATAGCTGTAAAAGTACTTTGCAAAGACACAGCCTCTCTTAAATGCCATCCATTTTAATAAAGTGATTAATGCCACCATCAGCTTTCTTAACAAAGAAAATTTCTCCCTTGTTTCTTCTCCCGTGTTCATGAGATTCAGCCTGTACTTACCATGGTAAGTGAGGCTTATCGATTGTTTGAAAATTACTCACTCTGGGCTGTTAAGATGCAAAGGGTGGTATTTTTCACATGTCTACACATTTTTGTTCTTAGGGCGAGTGGCTACACCACAAGCAGCCACCGTGTCACTGTGGTCCCCAGAGCTGCAGCCCTGAGTGGTGCCAGCAGTGCCTGAGATCAGTATTTTGCTGTGTTAAAGTTCGATCCTGGGCTGCATTAGCAGGAGGGTACAAACAAAGGGCAGTCACCTCAATCACCCACTGCTCACTGCCATTGTGGGCGAGGTGTCCTGAATCATTTTGGGGTGTGATATAACGCAACAGGGTGGTCCAGTGACATGGGAGTTACTGGTGGTATTATCAAGATAACCAGAGAAGCTGTAAGTTAAAAGGAATAATCGTGTTCAACACACAGAGAGATGAATTTTTTGAAGCTCCTTTTTAAAAATGCATACATTAGGAAGAAGGTTCTTCACTCAGAAGGTGGTCAGGCACTGGAACAGGCTCCCCACGGAAATTGTCACAGCACCAGGCCTGACTGAGTTCAAGGAGCCTTCGGACAACACTCTCAGGCACATGGTGTGATTCTTGGGGTGTCCTGTGCAGAGCCAGGAGTTGGACTGATGGTCCTTGTGGGTCCCTTCCAGCTCAGGATATTCTATGATTATAAATATATTTATGCAGGGATGTATTATGTATGTATAAAAGCATCTTAGTTCTCCAACTCCTAAATCAGTACAGCCAAATCACTACTTCTTGTTCATTTTTTTCAGGTATGAAAGACACCTTTGCATAAGATGCTGTC